CCCGAGTGCGGGCTCGTGAAAAATTTTTTCCAGTAAATTGCTAACTCAGGGGCCAAGAAAGCTAGAGGGCTGAAATTTTAAGGGGTTGTTTCCTGCCAGTTTTGGCGGCCAGTCTTAATTTGTTTAACTAGAAGGATTTGCCAAAAAACCGATGCCGGTAGCGACAGAAACTGCGGGGAACTATGCAAAAAACGCATCTTCGCACGGGCAACCCGTGCGTCGGCCAATTATTTTTTTTGTGACTACACCTGTAGAAGAGTATTATCATTTCAAAAAAAAAGTAATTTAATAAACATAAAATCAGGTAGGCGTAGTGACCACGGGCGTTCAGTTTGCTGTGATTGACAAGGGTATGAAGATATGAAACTTGGCTATAGATTCGCGTATATTGCCCCTAACTCATTGAGTGTTTAGGGATGAAAAGACGGCGAGTTCGCTTGATGCACTGTGCTGTGCAAATGAGAAAAAAAGCATTCCTGATGTATAGGTGTGCGTGTACATACGTTACTTTTTAATCTTTACCACATTGCCAACGGCTAGTTTTTTCTTTTCACTAACAATATTGTTGTTCGGCGTCGATCGGCCGCGCAGTAGGCAGTCCGGACTACGCCCGACGACACTCATAATTTGGCCGCAGGGGCGGGAATGTCTGGAGCGCTAACGACACCGGTTAATTTTGCTTGAACGAGGACGGCGATGATTGTGGGGTGGGCTGTGGTTAGTGCGACGTTGTTGGCGGTGGAGGGGGCGGTATCGGCGGCGGTGCTGGCGATGGTTTTCACGGTCGGCAGAGCATCGATAAGAGTGCCAGCAATTGTGCGGGTGTTGAGCAAGCCTCGCCTGGTCCTGGCGAGTCGCATTCTGACGAAACACACACCGAGGACATAACTACAATTTATTGGCTCCGACGAGCCAACTGGGAAATGTAAAAAACCAAACAAAAAATGAATTAAGCCTTGAGCACGCACATTTATATATAGAATTTTAGCGCGTAAATCAAACATGATCACAGGGCATCGACATTCACAAAAATCCTTGTCGAATCCGCGCACTTTTGGATACCCCGCTTTGCACAACGGGATGAAGTGATGCTCGCAGCAGCGGTGGTGATACGAGCGGCGGCAGTGGTGGTATGAGCGGTGGCGGTGGCAGGTACGTCGGTGTTTTAATACCGCTGCAGCAGATTCAAAGACGCTTACTAGTTTCCGAAGAAATGAGCTGCTACTGCTGCTGCTGCTTGTGCACGAGTTTCCTCGCCAATTCCCACTGCATCTCGAGCATGCGCCACCGCTTCTGCACAAGCTCTCAGTGCGCAGACACTCCGTAACCTCTTCCTGTCTTGCACGAGTACAAACATTCCGTGCTCTGCCACCGCCTCGCTTCGGCCTCCTTCGCTCATCTTTTCCAGTATCTGTAAAACTCTATTACATTATCTAACAATTTTCAAACTCTTACGATATAGTTTCACAATCCAATTTTATAACTTTCAAAAACTTAGTCTTATAAAAATTCAAAATTTTATCTTTTCTTTTGCAGTCCCTTGAATGACAGGTTAAGGATCTGCTCTCTTTTTCAATTCGCACATAAATTATTCTGTTACTTTCTTCTCATGAGCAGCTGCGCTCATTATCATTGTCATTTTATTCGTGTTTTCCACTAACCACCTTAAAAACCCACAAATTAATCCCCTTTCCCAATTTTGTTGACTGCTTTACACTGTCAAATCAAAAATCAAACCCAACAAATCCTTTTCTAACACACAAACCCTGCCCCCAATCTTTAAACCTTTTCTTGTTTTAAATCCTCGCCTCTTTTGACTCTCTATAAAAGCGCTCCCCAACACAATCGGGGCTGCTGCTGCGGGTTCTTTGCTGTCAAGGCTGTTTTGTTCTATTCTCCACTCACTGGCCGACCGTTATCTACTCTCGACACGCATCATTGATATATTATTCTTCTGTATTCTGACTTAGTACAATTCGACTTCATCTCATCAGTTAGTTCACAATTTTATTACTGGTCAAAATTATAACTCAAATGAGCCTTGGGACTGTCAGTTATACAACTATCGCATCACTGATGCAATTACAATAAGCCATAAACTCCTTTTATAATACAGTGCCCACAAAAATAGCTCGTTCGTATTCACAAAATTATATCGCTGCCACTCAACTACGATCTAATAACCTCCTCTGGGTATATACAATACGTGCAGTAGGGTTCATTATAGTTTTACTTCGTTCCAGACAAGCTTCCTTTGCGCATATTTTCACACACACACACACACACACGCACATCATCATCATCATTCAAATAAATTTTATTAAATTTTTACTTATCCCAATATTTTTACTCATCCCGAAAATCATTTTGTAATTTTTGTATATCCTCAATAAAAAGAGTTTTATTATTAAATGGACAGTGAATATTATTATTGTAATAAAAAGCTATTAAGAGTTGTTCAAAATTGTTAACATCATTTCATTTC